GAACAACCAAACGGGCCTTGTCCCGTTCTTTAGTGCCATCTGAATTAAACTTGGTCTTGAAGACCCATTGACAGCCCAAAGCTGTCCGATCCGGAGGCAAGTCTGAGATTTCCCAAGTGTTATTGTTGACCAAAGCTCGGAGCTCTGTGTCCATTGCCGCACGCCAATTGGCGTGTGGGACTGCCTCAGAGTAATTTTCAGGGACAAAATGAGGACTGATGGCGCCAAGGAATCCTCGATACCTGTCATGTAATTTATGATAACAAACAAAGTTGGCAATAGGATAACGTGTACGTGAAGACGGCGACTGGGAAGGCAATGAGCACAATGGAGTGGGAGTTTGAAAAGAATTGACGATGTAATCACTAAGATGGGATGGCTGACGACGCTGCCATTGAGGACGAAGCGGAGGAGCGGCTGCTGTATGGGGGTGGGGGTGGGCGTCGTTGGGCTGCTCGGTGGCAGCTGCCGGCTGGGCTGGCTCGCTGTCAGGTACGGTAGCCGGAAGGGGGTCGGGCAGGGGTGATTCGGGGAAGTTGACATGTTGGGTGGAGGTAGAGGGTTCGGCCGGCGTATGATGTGTGGCAAATGGGAACGTGCTTTCGTCAAAAGCAATGTCCCGAGTGTGAAAGAAACGATGAGTATCAAGGTCATACACACGCCAACCTTTTATGCCGGAGGGGTAGCCAACAAACATGCACTTGGTGCTTCGAGGAGAAAATTTATTAGAAGTCCTGAGTCGTACAAAGCATAGACATCCAAAAATTCGAAGGTGGCTAAGATCGGGTGCTTTGTGATTTAGAACTTCAAACGGGGACTTGCCACCAAGCAGTTTGTTGGGAGTACAGTTAATTAAATAAACAGCAGTACGAACACATTCCCCCACAGAATTCAATAGGTAAGTGAGCTTGAAACATAAGGGAGCGTGCGGCATCTAATATGTGTCTATGTTTTCGTTCTACCCGACCATTTTGTTGTGGAGTACCTACACAAGAAGTTTGAACAAGAACACCTAAAGTGGCATAATATGACCGAAGGTACTGATTGACAAATTCGGTGCCATTATCTGTAACGCCCCAAAACATGATCTAAAAGTTATTCTATTATAAAAGTATTTTTAGAAACCATATTTTCACTCAACAAAGCAATATTTCTATGTTTGACCAAAAATGAAAGAATTTTTGGAGTCAATGATTTTTGTTAAGATTGACTTTTATGGATAGGTCTCGAAGAGACGAATCCAACGGTATATTTTATGAATAAATCTGATGTACAGAGGTTCAGTTATGACATTTTAAATATGTAATTTGTATAAAAATGAGAAAAAGTCAAAGATGTGAACTTTTGTAAAATGATTTATTGAAATAAATATTTATATTTAATAATATTGATTGAATATGAGACTAATTTTAATTACATATCAATTAATTCAATTTTGACTCTGTCAAAGTCAACACCCAAAAATATGATGTCAGAAAAAGTATTTTAAATAAATATAAAAGTTATATCATTAAATAGAGTTTGACTGTCTGATCGCAACGGTGTAAACGGATTTTAATTTGGATAAGGTTGGACCAAAAAGTGTACCCCAATTGAAGTAATTTAATCAAACTAAACTGGAAGGAATTAAATTAGCCGCCCCCTCCACTCACCTTGGTCGACGGAACGGAACGCAACTCCCTCTCCTCCCAGGCTTATATATAGAGGAATTCATTCTTCATCATCTCCACACCAAAA